CCGAACGTCTGACGTACACATTTTCGCGTTTAAAACTTCGGCCTCAACCTCGCTAATTTTTTATACTTTGGACGAGACTGACATCAGCCGTCCGTAATATCGAATTTTTACTGTACATGAAAAACTTTTTAGATATAAAGCGATGCATTATAACATTTCTTGTATTTGTAAGATGATGTATCATTCTATTTTGTTCGCGCTGACGGTCTCTCTCATCTTCACCATCTTTCCTATTACACTTTCACCCCCCATCCATTACCCCTCCTCTTCTTTTTCACCCCAGGCGATACCTCTGAGTAGTCCTGGTCTTCCGCCCCTTTCATTAAAAATAAAAAATAAAAATAAAAATTTGTAAGATTATGATATTATTATTATTATTATTGTGCAAATACAAGACACAACGTTAAATATTATATATATTTATCGTCATTTCTTGTATTTGTACGATTAGTATTATTAACAACATTAAATATTAATATAAAAAAATTATATAACTGAAAACAAAATCAAGAAGTTTAAAGTTTCATTGTTCATAAGTACAGTATAAGTACTTTAAAACTGCCTCAAAGGAGCTACAGTAATATATTGTCACAGATACATAAAAGACAAGAACGAAAATGGTGATTTCTTTGCACACAGTTTTTTTAACAAACTCAAAATATAACTGAGGTTACAACCGTACTTTTGAAATAATACAAACAAGTTTACTAAAAGACCATCAAACAAGTTGGCCCAAGTCATTCTCAAACAGCACATAGAATTTTTAAATGATCTAGAGTGCACATTATAGTGGAATATCAAAGGTTCTTTGCACATAATACTAGAATGTGTATAAATGATGTGTTAAATATATTGTCCTTAATGTTGCTAATAAATATAGTTGTGCTAACTAAAAATCCAGAGTAACTTCCTTTATGTATATCTTACTGTACTTTACATGCAAAAAGAAATTGGACATGTAGATTTTCTACTGTATGTGAGTTGCTTATTTGATTCTAGATTACTTATTATTTTTAATGTTTCTTTTAAAAATGCAAAGCCTAAAAGAAGACAAATTTAGAAAAATTATTGAAATTTACATAGAAATTTTATGAAGGGTAAACATCCAACTGTGCAACATTTTAAATGTATGGATATTCCAAAAAGCACTATATATGATATAATTAAAATAGTGGAAAGGAAGAAAATGCTATGTAGAGTGAAGGAATTGGAAGAAAAAGGGTTAAAGTTACTGAAGTGTAAACAGTTAACTTATGCTGCTGGACCACTTTCTCCATAAGCTGGATCAAAAGTTCAAAATATACCAAACATTGGGATATTTTTGAACTTTTGATCCAGCTTATGCAATGCTTGGGATATTAAAGGAAAAGAACATTGTTATTAGGTACATGATTTGGCACCCAAGTATGTATACTTGGGTTAGAAGTTAGAAAATCAAACAAGATTACTCTGACAATTGAACAAGAGAGATTTGTAGTCCAAAACAACCTGTATGTTGCTATGGGTAATGACTTTTATTTTGGACTGGATGGTTCCATAAATTTTTGCTGTGAAGAAGTAAAGGCCATTATGCTAGAAATGAAGTTCAAATGTCATGCAAAATGGTTCAACAGTGATTTTGGTGTGGATATCCTGTAAGCCTTGAATTTTCATTGCATCATCTAAACTTTGCATTAAGATGGAAGAATATAGTACAGAATGCATCAAGAAATGACTAGACCATTCTTGAAGAAATACTATCCAAACAAAAATTACATGTTTTGGTCAGATATGCTCGAGAGACTACTACTGCCTTTGAATATAAGATTTAGTACATTTTCTTATTAAACCAATGTACTGTACCTGATGTATCTCAACTGAAATCACTTGAATGTAACATTCCCTCTAATTTTTTTTTGTAGCTGAGCAGAACATGTACTTCTGTGAGTAGTGTTGCCACCTTTTCAAAATTGCTGACACGGACGGCAGGTCAGGTTTGTTTGAACAGAAGTTCCTGATGCATGCGCAATGTCATTTTACAATGCGAAGAATAACGTGCATGCCGGTTCTAAATCAGTTACAGTTAGGGACTAGGGACTTGCGTAGGAATAAGGTAAGTAACCCTAAATTAAGAAAGAACAGGTACAGATGACTTAGTTCTATTGGATATTGGAGATGTGTATGATCGTACATGCAAAAAGAAAAAGAGAAAAGGTCGACAGGTTGCGCATCACACGTCGGCATAAACAGACTAACATGGCAGAATTGCAGATGAGTTTCAGTGAGTGTGAGTTCTTTCGTTGTTAAAAAAGTGTAAATTTATAAAAATATTTGCAAGAACTTTGTTTCATTGTAATTTCACAATTTCTACAAAATTCCTGGACAAAGTTAATAGTTCACCCGGACTGTCCAGGTGAAAATCGGACGGGTGGTAACACTATCTCTGAGCAAAAAAATTTTTTTCTGAGCAGATTCTGAGCAAAAAATTTTTCTGAGGTACATAGACAATTTTATATTTTTCCTTTAAAAATTAAAATAATTAATTATGAAGTAAAGACTAAAATTCATTTTAAAGCATACTTCCATAAAAAATATTATCTTTTGTCAATGATTTAATGTATTTAATCGAAATATACATAGCAATAATTATGTCACAGATAGAGTGACAAATCAGTAAACAACAATTTAAATCAGTGTGCGTGCTCGCCTGTGCAGCACATAAATTCTCGTGCACGGCAACAGTTTGAGCAGTGCGCAGCCGCGCAGCTTAGAGGGAACCTTGCTTGGATGTTTTGGTACCAGTTAAAGCAGAAAATATATGAGGGGTGAGAGGCTAATTTCATGGTAGAACTTCATAAAAGAATTCAGAATAAGCTCTGCCAATTTACAACTGAGGACTTTCAGAACCTTTTTGAAGCATGTGAAAACAAAAGCTTAAAAAGCAGCAGTCCATGTATTAGATTCAATGTTTGTAAACTGACAGACTTCTCAAATATGTTTCCTGTAATTTATTTTACATGCATTGTTTATTTATTAACTCCACAACTTTCAGAATAAATTTGTTTTTATATTATAGATTTTCAGATTTACACACACATTACCCAGATAATAAGTTGTAATATTATTTATTATAAATATATTTCTTTTTGCAGTCTAATTGAATGGTTCAATTATATTCATATTTAATGTTTAGTTTTGTATAAATGGTGAATAACAATATACAGGTCAATAGTTCAAAATATCCCAAACATTGGGATACTTTGAACTTTTGAGCATTGCATAAGAGTCTATAATAATAATAATTACATTTCTTTAGGAGCAGCTTATTGTCAGTTTATGGACATGTTATTCCCTGGTAAGTTCAATATTAAAATACTTAGATTTTGTATGTTATTTGATAAATTTTTCAATGTTTTCAAAGCTTTAAAGTTTATGAAAAAATTAATGAATTATTTTTGTTTTTATTTTGAAAAATGTAAATTGGTTGTTTTTATCATTTTATATATAGGATGCATATCACTGAAAAAAGTAAAATTTAAAACTAATTTGGAACATGAATATATTCAAAATTTCAAGTTACTACAAGCAGCATTTAAGAGAGTTGGAGCTGATAAAGTAAGTATTTCTAAGCATTTTTAATAGATAAATTGATTAAATATATTTTAAACATTGAGAGTACATATTCTGTTGAATTTGTTTATCAGATGAGAATTGTTTTAAGTATAAATGATAAAAAAAATATTGTATGTTCAATAAGGTTTTTATATATTGTTTAGTATAGATCTAAATTTAAATTTATTTTATCTAAACATATCGCCACTCTGCTTTATTCTGAAAATATTCATTTTATTTCCTTATAGTTTGCATTATATTATAGTTATCAATTTTTACCTAATTAATTATAATTATATAGGGTTAACCAAATAAAGTATCTAATAAATAGTGTTAACCAAAATAATTTATGATAAATATGGTTAATTCTATGTAACAATAAGTTCATGTCTCTTTTTTCTTTTTTGAGAACGTACCAATTGATAGGTTAATCAAGGGAAGGTTTCAAGATAATTTTGAGTTTTTACAATGGTTTAAAAAATTCTTTGATGCAAATTATAATGGTCAAGAGTATGATGCATTTGAAGCTCGTGGTGGTATTCAAGTTGGAACAGGTGCCAATCCAAGTAAAGCTGGTTCTGGAGGAAAGCTGTCTTCTATAACCAGACCAGTAGGAAGAACAGGTAATTAATGAAATTTATTGTAATTATTAGCATTTCAGAAAAAAAGCAAATGATAGCTTAATATTTTGATGGTATTTTATGATATATTTGTTAAATGAAATCTTATAAATAAGAATGTTAATAGAAGTTTGATTTGGAGAGAATGTTCATGAGTTTGGTTCATTTTGTTATTAAAAATTAATTCTTCTTAATTAGTATTATTGATTGATATAGAAATATTAATAATTGAATGTTACAAGCATGATTATGTTAAAAACTATATTTATAAATATTATAAAGATAATTAATTATAAATTTTATAAATTACTGATATGAAACAAGAAAGAAACTTAGTCAACATGAGTATGAAAAAAGTTTTGTATGAAAATCAAAAATAAAACATAATTTATCTAAGGTGTAATGACTGCATTACAAACATTTGAACACTTTTTAGTTGCTATATTTTAGATACTTGGGTATGATTTTAAATTAATGTATTCTAATTCCTGTTCAAAATAAACTTTCATAAAAGTTATTTATATTTAGATTTTATTTTATAAGAAATGAAATTATTTTAATCTTGATGTAAACTCTTTTAAATATTACTTAAGTTAGTAATATTTGAAAGAGTTTACATCAAATATTATTTCTCTGATTTTATTTAATAGTAGAAAACTTACTATTCTATGCTTTTAATAAAATTAATAACATTACTTAGCCATCATTCAAGTATGACTTCCATACTGGAGAGGGGATAATGTACAAATTTTGTGACAGATTCTGACAGGGTGGGGTGTTAGTAAAATCATGATGTCCTAAAGATTCTGAAAAAGTTTCCTATTTGAAAAAAAAAATTTTTTTGTCAAAATTATTATGCAAAAATATTTTGATCAATGATCACACAGCAAAAAATTCTTGCTTATTTAAATAGTTACACATAGGGAAAGAACTGTACTAAATATACTTTGCTGCGAGTGCTGTAGTAGAACTTTTAACATGAAAGGATAATGGCAATAGTTTAACTGTTACAGATATGGATTACAGATAAATATGCCAATAAAACATATACCAGTATTGTTTGTTTGTTTTTTTTTTTTTTTGTTTTTTTTCAAAATTAGCTTATCTGGGCAGGAAATTTGAATAAATTAATATACTGTAGATTATTTGTTTTATAAAAATGCTTGGTTTTAATATCAGGGAGCTGATAGATCAAACATATCAGCATGAGATGTCTAAAAATTGATGACAAAATGTGACAGGAAAGGGTTAGGTAGACAAAAAGGACTTAAAATTATCATCATATTTCAATGACTCATTATTCTGAAGAAAGCAATTTTTATTTATTAGATGTGCTATGATACTGAAATGTGTTTTATTGGTTTATTATTAGAGAATACATATTACTCAAATTGCAATTGCTTATCATTACGGTAATAAATTATTATATTTTATATATAAAACATTTTATAAAATGCTACTAAATGATTTGAATTAGAATAGATACTAAATTGGATAACAAAATAGTATACATTTATTAATGTTTAATTTTGTTTTTGCTTGTTGACTATAAATATAAATCAATCTGAGATTTGCTGTTATTTCAGTAAACCATTTGAGATTCTATTATTGTTAGTTGTAGTTGATTGAATCAATTTAACTCTGTAAATAGATGTAGTAATTTAATTAAGTGAAAAATTTAAATAATCAATTTATTTTTACCCCTAATACATGAATTCTATTTTTTTGAATAAGTAGTGTGTGTGTGTGTGTGTGTATATATATATATATATACACTACTTATCCAAAAGATAATATAGTTAAAATAGTTAAAATATATATACAAAAATATATACAATATATAAAAAAGTTAAAATATATATACAAGTTTTTAATTAGTCTACATTTTCGAAAACAGCATTAAAAATCATTTTGTAACAGAATAATATGACGAATAATTATGGAACAAGAAAAGCATTTTTTTTAATGTGGAGTGTAAATATTCTTCCGTTATTTTCTCTTGTAAAAAGTTTTGATTTAAATTTTTATGTTCTATTCATGGAACATTTACGTTCCGTTGTATTTTTCAACCTGAAGATGGCCTATTAATTAGGCTGAAAACGTTTGTTGTTTAAAAATTATATTTCTCGGCAAAAAAGGTGTTTTGTTTATCTTTATCTTTTGTAAATATGTACCGGTAATCCTATGTTCTTTATTAGTAACCTTGCACTTTTACATGAATAAGGATATAAGAGAATTCTTGCAAGACAAACCATTTTAAAAGATTACAGGCCGTTTCTAACAAAAGCACATCACTATCAAATATTTTTAANTAATGTCACAGTTAAATATTCAGAAAATCGATTCCTTTGTTACATGCTGTAATCGATGATGCAATATATAGCTACTTTGAACCGTTCGTCGAACTCGATTATATTCATTACATGACATAACATGATTTAAGACTGTATAAAGATAAGTTTCTTATTTTTGGCGACCGAATTTTGATTATATTTAAATCAGTTTAACATTCAGGAAGTCGTTGTGTTTATTCGTGTGCAGAAGTTTAAAAACTGTATTTTTAATTACACAAATTGAATATAAGTTTAGGTAATGTAAAGAAATTTTTCGCTGATACCAACATTTAATTATAAAAGGCAAATTCCAAAGTATTAAATTCATTTTTGTTGAAGTATTCTTTAAGATAATGATATTTTTCAAATTTTAACGAATTTCAACAGCATTAATAAAAGTATTTCAAACAATTTCCGGTTTTCCATTAGCTTAACTAGAACCATATTAAGGAATCCAGAATTAGGACTTGCAAACCGAAATTTACCGCTGGACCACTGTTGATGAAGAGTAAACTCTTATTTGATTACTTTGATAGTATTTATTTGATTTTTTTCCTTCATTTATTTAAAAAATAAAACTTAAGTTGGCCCGATTTCCTTCCTGATCGTTTCTGAGAATCACATTTTACAATATTAATTGGGCTACAATTTTTTTAAAATTGTAGACCTATAAATGTCCATTATCATCCGTCCATCATTCTTCCCTTAATCTCGAGAACGGAATTAGATTAAAGACGAGACCAAATATGGAAATCTTAGAGGCAGGAGACTATGTAAGAACTTATCTATGCAAACCGAAAGTAACATTTCAGTTCAAAAATTTTCCCCTGAAAGGTGTTAGATAAATGACCGATACGACTCTATTAAAGGAAAAGTATGATGTACAGGGGAAAGCCACTACTAATTAGAGGTAGTATATACTGTATTTTAAATTAAATAAATTAAAAATATGATTACAAATTGCAGCCTGACATTGTGACGGTGTCACAATAAATAATTGCTCGTTATCTATATTCCATTACTACTAATATAATTTTATAATATATAATTTAATTTTTTTACATATAAGGACTAAATGAAATTTAATCTTAAAGTAAGATTTAATACTTTTCTAATTGATTTTTCATTTTAATTAATCTGAATTTTATCACAAAAATTATTGGAATTAAATATATAACATTTTATGTAATTTTATAAACAGTAATATTTCTCTTACAGAATGATTCGTTATAAATATCGCTAGTCGTGTACGTGTATAACGCGATATTTATAGATACACTGTACATTTCAAAGTAATTTTATTAGAATTGGGGCTTAAAGTTAACGGTCGTTTGATATATCATAGAGAAAGTATGACTGAATACAATTTTATTTTTGTAATCATGTCATCCAGCTGACAAAATTAGTTCAAAATTGCTTAAATTTGTAAAAATATAGAATATAACAATTATTAAGATGCATCATCACGGTAACTTTTAAAACCATTACTGAATAATGCATATATTAAAATTCATTATTTAAATTTATCTACAATAAAAAAATTTTTTCTTTTAAAAACTTAGGAAATAATTTTTGTAGTTCATGGCTTATTAAGAAAGTTCAATTAAATATTCAAGTTACAAATTAAATGAATTTGTGTAGAATTTTAAATATTTTAAATTACACAACTTAGATTACAAATTTAAGTTAATGTAAAGAAGTGCCTCGCTAATATATGGTATTAGCATGTGTTATCGTTAGAAACACCAAAGAATTAAATTCGTGCTTGTTTAGGTACTCTTAAGTTAATATCCTTTTCTTCTGCATATTTTTTTTAAAAAAAACTTACAGAAAAATTAATAAAAGTATTTATTTATTGTAATTAAAAAAAGACAATTATGAATTGTCGAACATAAATTTTTTACATTTAGATGTAATCATTTTTAAGTATTGAGAAGTATATTCAAAGTTTAAAGATGTGTAGCAACATAGCGTTGATTTGACAGAGGTTTTTTTTAAGTATTTACATATTATATTGACATGTCAAATAGAAATTTCTAGTTACTATGATATCAATTTTAATATTTAATAGCATGATACGGGTAAAGCTATGCAGTGGTGATAGCAATGACCTTACGAAACTTGTCAAAAGTAACATTAAAGAAAAAATTGCAGACGTTACTTAATAGATTTTCAACTGAATACTGAATAATAGATTATTATAGTTCACTTTATCATAATTATTTTATGTTATGTTTTTAAAGTAATTAAAGCTTCTGTAATACATTAAATTTCTAGATAAATTTAGATATTATGAAAGAGACCAATTAGTTTTTAGAGAATCGATTAAAGTAATNTATAAAGTTTTAGTCTGTGACTGTAACTTTTGGAGATATCGCGGTTTATAACATCAAAATTTAATTATTGTAACTATACATCATTTTCTAATAACAATTTGTATACTCGCGTCTAGACTAAACATTCACACATATATCTAGAATTTCTATACATATTTTATTGCAGAATCGTTTGACGTATCTAACGGCATATAAATTTTTAGTCTGTGACTATAACGTTTGGAGATATCGCGATTCATAACATCAAAATTTTATTGTTGTAACTATACATCATTTTCCAACAGCAACTTGTATACTCGCCTATAGATCGAACATTTATACATATATCTAGAATTTCTATACATATTCTAGTGCAGA